ATATATATATATATATAAAAGACAACTCAGTTTCATCTAGTTTTTATGGAAGTGGATGAGTGAAAAAGAATTTCATTTTTTTGTAAGTTCGAGGGGTGAGGTTGACACATTTATAAGTTTGGGGGACACATCGCAACAAGTGGCTAAATTCAAATAAAGTTTTTGAAATTTATCCTATTCTAGGAGTTAATACTCTCATATTCTTGAATGAAATGAAAAACCTATTATTATTTGTTGTTCTCTAGAGGTTTCTTAAAAAAATAAAAATAAAATAAAAAACCAACATTGTGTAAATATTTACAAGCGTGAGATGTTCAAAAATCTCCAGTTTTGCTAGAGTTCTTGGCCTCCAGAGATTTGTTATGAAATATTTGACTAAGGAAGCATTGATTAATCTGAATCCCAATCTAATTTATTCTCACGTTATGATGGAGGGTTTTACGTCTACTGCAAGAGGTAAACAAGCCACTTGTCCTTCTCTAGTGCTACAAGGATGGAGAAAACTGCAAGAATTATCAACAATGGTTAGGCTTCTATGGAACATTGTAAGAAAGTATGTATTGATCCTTTGTAAACATTTTGAAAGTTAATTTCTTTACAAAAAAATCCAGGGCAGAAAACTGTAGTTCTTTCACAAAAATTATTACACCTTTTTTGTCAGAAAAATAACGATTAAATGATAACAAGGAAGCCAAAGATGATCATCAAAGTGGAAAAGGAAGAAGAAAAAGAAGGCTCGCATACTGAAAAACACTACTTTGCAAACAGCTGCCTGCGCCTGCCTGGCTTTGCTCGCAAATTCGCAGCCTCTCCCCTAACGACCTCGTCTACCAAGTCCTTAAATATCGAGCGCTCAACGTCTAACACCACACCGGAGATCTCACCAGAGAAGTCTATCCAACTCCCAGACCCGCACATCACGTCCTCCCACAAGATGCTCTTCAAAGAATCATCCTCAACCTCAAAGCTGCACTCTAGTTTCTTTGTCTGCAACTGTTCGATTTCGTTGCACAATTCATTGAGAAGCTTTTGTGCATTGAGGGTTTTCTTTGCTAGCTTCTCACGCTTCAACCATGGTTCAAACGAGACACTAACCGAAGCCAACTTTCCTACGAGGATTTCATTCACAGCGTCGAATATGAGCTTCCTATGAAGCTTCTCCTTGTCTGATTTCGCATTGCCAGCCTTTTCAAGGCTGCATTCATCTTTTGGTCGCAAACTGCTTGCCTTGGTTTGCTCCAAGACGAAGAACAACTCAGGGTTGATAGGGTAGCCTGAGGGATGGAGCTGAAATGTGGTTAGGCCAGAACCAAGGTCCCTGAGGAGTAGGCCGGAAGCTAACAATATCTTAGAAATATATCTGTGATCGGGACTTGTATTCTCGCAGAGCGATGCAATGTAGTCTGTTCTGGCTTCATCATGATTGGAATTCAATCTCCTAAGCTTCTGAACCAAGTTTTCAATATTTTCTAGTTTCTTGCGGTTTATCTCAGAGGTAAGACCCGACCCTTTGCTATTAGACAGGTTTTCAGTGTTTCGCCATAGATCTTCACCCGCGGCTTCGTTGGAATCCTGAGCATCATCACCTGTAACTCCAACGTATATAAAATTAAATTTGGTGGACAAAACAAGCATTTGGTTTCTCTAAAATAAATAAAGAACACATAACAGCATTTTCTTTTACTTCCTTTCCAACAGTATGATTGTTTTTCTCTAACCGTTCCTCCTAAAGATGGAAAACAAAATTCAGATAATGTTGATTCTTATCACAATGTGTCGTTGAAAACTGACGCATTCTGATGAAGTGTGGTGTGGTCAAAAATTAACTCACTTCAGCAGAAGCACAAATACAAGCGTCAAAAACACTAGATTTTGTGATCCAAATTACAGAAAATATTTAGCATCCTATCGTCATGTAGGGTATATTCCTAGTGTGTATTTTGGTGGCCAAATACATACTGAGAAAACAACTGCTGTGGGGAATTCTCCTTTTTGTTTGCTTTGCTGTGAAAGATTTTTGGTAACTTCATAAGATGAACATGGTTTCTTTTTTAAAGCTAATTCACTATAGTCTTCTGGTAAGCTATTACACTTCCAAAAATTCCAATTTTCTACTGAATTGGACTCTATGTAAAACTGAAAAACTATTCTCATAATAAGCTCTTAAAGTGTACCTTTGAGGGCATTTGGTATCTGCTTTACAGGAGAAGGTTCATCATCTTTATAAGCAGAGGTATCAAGAACAGAAACTGGACTAGGATGTTCCAGTGCAGCCGTAGCAAGCTCGGGTAATGACTCCTCTTCATCTAGCCTGCTAATTGCTTTCTGAAGCAAGGAAAAAAAATGTCAAGAAAATGAAGGAAAAAATAAAGACAAAATGGGTAGACTAACAACACCTACCTTCTGTATGGAGTCAGCAGCCAAGGACTTGGAACCCTTCATGGATGGAGTAAGGCTGCAATTCATCTCTGATGATCGCATTGCACTTGTGACTTCCACATCGGATTTCGAGTCCAAAGCTGTATTGCCCTCTGATTGGACAGATGTGTCATCGCCTTGGCAACTCAAAGCTTTCGAATCATTGCTTACCTCACTCAATTGGTCATCGCATGGCTGCGAGTTAGGATCCTTCGGTCTGGCTCTTCCACCCAGTGAACCTGCATCTGCTGGCTGCCGACTAGATTGCCTTCGAGGTTTGTTCGAATTGGATGGAGGCATAGGTGGACGAGATCGCTTCTCCATCTCAAGCTTCTTCTGTTGCAGCCTCGGGCTCACTGATCCCGAGCTCTTTGCTGAACTTCTTGTGGTGTTTTCTACTGGATGTTGTTGAGACATAGACGAAGAATGTGTTGGTTTCATATTCCTCGCACTTCCTATCTTCTCAACAGAACTGACACTGGCATCCCGATGACTGTACTTGGGGGAATGATCTTTGGCCGTTCGGCTATTATTTGAACTCTTCCTACCCTCAACAGTTCCCACATTCTGGGGCCCATGGATATCAGAAAAACCATCAGCAGAAATGACTGAGGAAGTAGAAATACTAGATTTCTCAACAAGTTTAGCTGGTTTCATGATCACTATCGGAGATTCAAACGTCCTCGAAGAACTAGACACTCTAATGGTGGAAGCATTAACATGGCTGCTTTGCTGGTTTCTTTGGTTAGCAGAATTTAGATTTAGATTGGGGCCCACATATCTCTGTTCACGTTCTACTTGGGTTCCAAAATTTGAAGCTTGTTCTTCTTTACCAGTCTCTAACAGTCCCTTTCCTTGCATTGCTTCCAGTATCTGTTTAAGAGCGCGAAGATCCTTTCCGGATTGTTTGAATTCGAGATCTTTTAGTCTCTTCTCAATCTCACTATAAACCGAAGGGAAGGAGTTTGGACTCCTTGGTGGGACTTTTACTGGTCTTGAAGAACTTGTTCTCTGAGAACCTCTATTTCCATCCTGCATTTTCCATGGAGCTGGTTCGATTGGAAACCTAGAACTTGAAAGGGGTTTCATGACCAAATCAGGATTTCTCCACTGTGGAGATGTTGGCTCTTTCAAGGTGTTTCTTGGGGAGTTTGAAATTCGAATAGGCCTGTTAATACTATTCGCTTTCAAAGACTTCGTAGATGAATCAGCATCATGAACCAGGAAGGTTTTGTTCAACCCCAATTGATCATCACTAGCCAAAGGAGAATCTGGCAGTGCATCCAAGCCCATTAACTTTGCTACAACACTAGGAGGTCGTTTTTGACTCCCTGATGACTGGGATAGACTAGGGTCTTTCTCATTCATGATCCCACTACTCTTGGCAATTCTTGAAACATGCCTTGGTTTTGAATCAAAACTGGAACCCCGAATCGAGCTTTCTCGACTATCCAATGAAAGTCTTGGCAACTCTTTTAGCTTAGCAGTTGATTTTAAGGAATCCCGTGATTCAAAAGACAGACGTTTAATTTCTCTTCCATCGTAAGAAAACCGAGGAGCATCCCTTGAAATCGAGTGCCAAGACCCATCTTTCAATTCATACGATGATGATCTTGGATTTTCTCTAGTATCATTATAATACCAAGGTGCTTCTCTCAGTTTAGCAAGAACTCTAAGAGACTCCTTAAGATCAACTGATGTATTTTGCTTTCCACTAATCCCAACTGCATTAGATCCATCATCATGTTTGGAGAGCTGTAAAGGCCTTGGGGAATCTCGATGCTTCACTCCATGACCCGCTGCTTCATCTTTATTAGTTTTGACTGATAATCCCCTGGCTTCCCTATACATGGAGTCCTTGACAACATCCCGGAGATCGAGAGAGTACCTCCCTAATCGTGGAGACGTACTTGATTGGTTCACTGCCGGTCCCTTTGAGGAAGTTTCGGGAAAAATGATTCGGTTGAGGGAAGAAACTTCTTGTTGAGCTGTTTTGTCACAGTCCACAGATGATGCTGAGGACGAACAAGTGGATGAGAAAGAGGCTCTTGATGATTCCGTGGAAAGTCTTTGTCTCTCACTCGCACTCTTGTTGAAATTTATCTCCTATAGTTATAATAGGCAAATCGGGTTTAATACCAGACTGAAAATGCTAGAAGCATCAGAAATCAAAAGGCTTAGACATGGATTCAAAGAATGAGAAGGAAATGTTCAATTACTTTGGACAGAAAATAATTGTGACAAAATTCTAAAAATTTAGTAAAAGAATGACGAGCAATAGAGAAGAAAGTGCTTACTGAAGTCTCTTGATAGTGTAAATTATTAGACTGTCTTTCCAAGCTATTGTTGCTAAAGTTGGGATTACCTATAAACACAAAAGTTAGAAGCTCAAAAAATCCATAATTTTTTCAACATTGAAGTCAACAAACATGAGAAAAAAAAGAACCCCAAAAAGTTAAACATTTCAACTTCAATTGATGATGGAGAATATCATAGCAAAACAATCAGAGGCAAGACAAATCATTCATCACTTAAAAAGTCAAAACAGTGCTAATATAGCATCCAATTGAACAGTTCCACAAAATTGAAATCAAAATAAAAATTTTAACCATTTGGTACAAAATTCAGATAAACTAAATGGAAAAAAGAGTAAATCTCTTTCATCAATGAAAATCAAGAAAAAAAAAAGGCTCAAAATATACCTGGAGGAAGCCTCTTGTGGGGAAGGCGTTTCCCAGTTAAAACATGGTGACGATCAAAGATTTGAAAAATCCCAGTCATGCATCCAATTTGCTTCTGCAAATCTGGATTCTCATCAGCCAAGGAATGCAAAAGTTTTGCAGCCATTTCTTTCAACTTTCAAATTCTTCTATCTTCCCCAAAACTTGATATAACTTTCTCTCCTACCCAGATTAGAGCATATCTTAACCTCTCCTTGACTCTTCAAACAATGTTGGGGACCAGTATTTTTTTTTGGCAGCCCAAAATACAACAATAATTTCAGACACCCAACATAGGTTTGTACCTCTGACAACCAAAAATCAATAGTATCAGAAAATTGCAGATAAATATCCTTGGAATTCTCGGATATAGAAGTAGTAATTCACGCACCTCAAGAACCTTTTGCTTCCTCTGACAACAATATCCAAGCTTCAAGTACAAGAAAGAAAGAAAGAAAAAAAAAAAGCATAAAAATCTAAACTTTTTACCCTCTTCTTAGTAAAATGTATAATGTAAAACTAAAAAGTTCAATAATATAAGCACATTCTTTGTTCACTTAAAGCTCCAAATACAACTTTCCCAGATAACCAAATTATAATCAGAATGCCCTCACCAAACAGCCTTCTTCTGCTTAATTTACAGCTCAAAGATACGAACTTTTTTCTTCCTTGAAAACCCACCAAGCGAAAAGAGGAAAAAAGATTTCTACTTTTCTTTGTTTTGCCAATAAAAAAATCCCAGCCCACAAAAGCTTTTTGTGGACGTCACGGATTTCTGCCCAATCTCAACAACTTTCTCAGCAATAAGGAAAACCCCACAACAGAAAAAAGGAACATTTACATATACCCAAAAGAAAGCATAACAAACCCAGTAAGTGTGGGAAAGAAACTTGTTTGGTTGCACAGAAACAAATCAGGAAAAAAGAAAGAAAATGCACACCAGTAACAGTTGTCTTGCACCAAAAGGAGGGGACCCCAGTAAACTATATTATAAGATTAATAGAGCAAAAAAACAAAACAAAAAGAAAACCCCCACAATGGGTTTTTTTTTTTGTTTTTTTTTTGTTTTTTTTTTTTTTGCTAAAATGACAGATGCAGACTGTAAATCGGATCCAAGAAGGGTTTTTTTTTTTTTTTTTTTTTTTTGGCTTTCCACTCTTGGAACAAGTGGGAAAGACAGCTCAGGAGAGACAGGGCAGGTTTGCTAGGCCTATAATGTGAAAGTGTTGTAATAAACCAATGGGAGAGAGTCAAGGCTCAAGACAAGAGTTGGGCAAAAAAAAAAAAAAAAAAAAAGAATTTTAGAGAGAGAGAAGAGAGAGAGAGGCAGTTGTTGTGTTCATGTGTTGTGTATGTGTGGGTCAGAAATCCTCAAGGCTCTATCCCACACATCCATGTGGGATGAGTATGTAGGTGGGTCAAGGCCTGTCTGCATGTGCATGTGATCTTGTCAGTTCTCAGGAGAGAGAAAGCAAGAAGAGAGAGAAGAGAGGATTTATGTAAGTAGAGCAGAGAAGGAAGAGAAAAAAGCATTCATTCTACCTGCAAAGGTCAAGTGCCCTGCTAAAGCAAATGTCAGCTATTGATTTTACCATTTTACCCTTTAACATATATGTAGATGTATATTTTCCATGTTTTATTAACCTAAAAAAAGAAAAAACTTACTGTAATTGATTTTATCAATAGAGAATTCTCCGGTAGATGAAGAAAAGAAAATTTGGTATGTATAGTCTTAAATTGAATAATTTTTTTTGAAAAAAAATTATCGTGTTTTTAAAAAATTAATATATTTTGATATGATTTGATAGTTTAAAATTGTATAGAGAGATTTTTTTGGTACCTTAATTATCACAAAATTTTCATTTATCATATTTTCTGTAATTTTCATGTAAAATTTAGAATTAAAAGTAGTAATGATGTATTTAGAAAAACAAAAAAGTAGTAATGATGTATAACTTTGTTTTAATTTTTTTTTTATTTACCACTATAGATCATGTCATGGTTACTTTTTTCAACTAATCACAATTTGACAGTTGTAAATATGTCATGGTTAAAAATCAATAGAAAATTATAAAATATTGTTATTATTAACAAATAAATTTTTCCTAATTTATTTTTGCTTAAAATCTTTAAGAATATCATTTAACATATACCAAGGGAAAATGAAAAAAACAATGCTAAAAATGGGTAGATGTTGAACATTAGAGTATAACAAAGATTAATAATTTAAGCAAATTTATTAAGGAAAGTAATGATCCTTGATGACTTATGAAAGGTCGGCAGTATCAATCTAATATACAAAATATATAAACTAACTACTATACATACATATATATATATATACTCCTATATATAATATATCAAGAGTATTTATCTAAGTGGGCACCACATTTTTGTTGTACATCTGTTGTTTGGTACACGTATTGGTATTAGGGCCAGTAATTTTAGACACGACACGATGGAACGATACGAAAACGACAGAAGATAAATGAGTTTAGACCGCACGGTTATTAATTAGGTCGTTAACGGGCTGGCACGAATAACACGAAAATAAATGGGCTGGATTCATGCCAGCCCGTTTAACACGCTTAACCCGTTTAGTTATACGGGCCATTATCAGGCCAACACGGCCCGACCCGGCCCAACCCGTTTATTAAGCCCATATATTTATATATATATATATAGACAAAACCTTACTTTTGACTTAGTCTCTGGAGGCTTCTCTTTCTCTCATTCTCTCACCCGCCGTTTCAGGTATTTCCCATTTCTTCAGCAAATAAGATTGACAATGTATTTTTCTGTTCTCAATTTTTGTTTGATTTGGTCTTATAGAGTTAGGTATATTTATTATTTTTTTGTTTATTTACTGTCTTAGCTTATGTTATTTTAAGTTTTAACTATATAAGTTATCTATTATGTGTAGAAAACAGCAAATCGATTCGTGAAGCTATGAATGAAATTATTGAAGATGTTTTTACTTTGGATATCAATGAGCCCACTTCTGGTTCATCCCAAAATTCTCACAACCTCAACACCTCAAATGCAATGGAAGGTAACAAGAATTTTCTTTTGCCATGCCCAAACTATAAATTTCCTTTCATTAATAAAATGTTTTGTTTTTCCATGAATAGGTTAAGCAATTGGAAACTAATTTTAGTTTTTAAAGCGTAGTTGGGCATTCAACCTCAAGGCTCAAAGAAGACATTTTCCTATATTTATTTTATGTTTTATGCACTTAAACATGCAAATGTTTGGTTATATTTTCAAACTTATTTAAATGTACTTGGTTATGTTTTCAAACTTCTTTGGATGTTTGGTAATTGGTATGTTTTGAAATATATATACTTGATAATTTAGTAATATCATATATATATATATATATATATATGTGTGTGTGTGTGTGTGTGTCTGATATTTGAATATTTTAATGTGTGTTGGCTATTATGTATGATTTTAACTATAAGTGATATTAAGTAGTCAATTAATATAGTTTTGAATACAATATAAAATTTCACTATTTTTGCTAGTTGGGTCATAAATGGGTCATAAACGTATTTTTTTTCGTGTCGGCCCGTCACGGCACATTTAGTAATCGTGTTCGTGTGTCGTGTCATGTTAACCGTGTTATTAGCATTTCGTGTTCTTGTTTAGGTTTTTGACACGTTTATTAATCGTGTCGTGTTCGTGGTCACTATAATCGTGTCGTATCGTAATCGTGTCGGCCCGAACACGACACACAAACACGAATTGCCAGCCCTAACTAGCACCCCATCAAATTTGTATAGGGATTGGTTAAATCTGACCTTAGAATAAAAATATCCTCTTTTATAAAGTCAAAGTATATAACAAAATGTGTAATGAAATCACTAACTGCATGCACATGAAGAAAGATTAAAATCCTTGAAGTGTATTTTTTCTTTTTTTACTAGACCTCATTTTTCATGTTCATTGTTTTCTCATAAGCATGCCTAAAACAGAAAATTAGGTTTGGTAAAGAGGAGGAATCTTGTTTTGGGTTTCCTAGCAAGTGGGTTAAGTAAATAATGCGACAACTTTGATGATGGGCAAATTGTTCTTTTTTGCATATCATGAAGAGGATAAAATAATGTGTATCAACTAATATTTAATTTTTATTCCAGCAACAAAAAAAAAAAAAACTAATTTTTATTTTTCAGTATTTAATAGCATTTGTGGTATTTTCGTTTTCAATGTTTCTCTTATGATACTTATGATTTTTATAATATAATGAGAAGGTAATGCGTGCAAATTAATTGACCTATTAGTTTATCCAATGGCCGGCCAATAAAGTGATCCTCTTCTTTTTATAGAAATATTTCTCTCATATATATACAAATATATATATATTTATAGCTAGACTAATATTTTAGTTGTAGTAGGTGATATATATTATATATAAAAGACACAGAATTTATAAGTATGTGAACACACGGTTATACATGGGGGGCATAATACCCAAGACTAAGAAACAATAGTCATAAATGTTATAAAACATTATCATGTACAATATTTTGATCTTAGAACTCATGATGTTGATTGTTATTTCCATGTCAATGCTATGATCATACATAGCAATACACAAGTATACATCACACGAATATATATATATATATATACACATTATTAAATTTTTATATTTAATAATAACTACCAATAAAAACAACATAATTATTAAAAATTTGTCCATATATCTCATAAATATATATACATATTTATGACTGAGGACATTTTGGAAAATTCATACAAGAGAAGTTTCTAACACGCACAACTTTTACATTTCATCCCATTGCAGCTACGCTTGCTATTTCTAGGTTGTATTTCAACCCTCCGAGGCATATATCGAAACTAATAATGAAAAAGGGTGTTCTATATAATTCAGAAACCAAGAACGCTGTGTCAGATTCCTTCATCACATGGCTCCTCACCACCACATATTTCTTTGTTAAACTCTCAATATATATATATATATGACAATTCACCCACTTCTCTCACTTTACATTTACATATATATATATATATACATGGATTTACAGGTGCGAAAAATATATAGCCTATTGATAGGTAGAATGTTAAATTTTTATAGATTATATCAGTTTTGCATATTTTTCGTGTGGATTGAATCTAATTTGAGATATATACTGCCAATAGTTACTCTGACGTAAAAAATAATATATTTACATATCTATATATACACACTATATATATTAAACATGGGCTGATCTCTTGTAAATTTTTCAAGATGATATTACCTATAATTATCGATCTTAATTTGTCTATTTGGCAATAACATCAATACAAGTCATGGCATTTATTACTCTTACATCACCTTCAAAGAAGCTGCTATATTTATACGTACAGAAAGTGAATCAATTGAAATGGATGTAAATGTACGTACGTGAAACGTTATAAAAAGCAATATGAATTGAACATATAACCTAACTCTCAACTACTCATCACTTATCAGAAGGCCTTCAATGTTGGCTTATCCAGTGTTATAATAATATACGTACTAAATTAACTTAACGCACTTTAGCTGAAAATTTACGTCCCCATTATGATTTGAACTGGTAACAACATATTATTATGTGGCCCATTTTCGATATTGAAAGACAACTATATATTGCTAATAGAGGTTAGGGGTCCCATATATATATATATATATATATATATATATATAT